GGGACCTCTTGTTATTTTTTGAGGTTCAAGGCAGAATCCCAATTCTACAGTTTGTGTGTGGGGTGGTATGAAATAGGGTAAACATGGGGGCTGGAATTCTAGGCCAGTTATTTTGGCAGAATGTAGAGAGGCAGATAGAGCCAGACACTCAGTCTAATGGATTAGGCCAACAGGATCTGGCTACATGAACACCCCAGACTTATTCCTCACTCACTGGGCCCTGGGTTTGGTTGGTGATGAAGGAGGCTGTAGGTTGAGGAAATTCAGCTGTCAGTGATAGATCATTAGATCTGGAGAGGCCAGTCTGATCGCGGTATTGAGGTTTCAAACTGCTATGGGGCAGTCTTGTCAGACTGGTCAGGAAAAAAAAGAGAGGAGACACATATTGCAAGTGTCAGGAAAAAGAGAGGTGCCATCACCACAGATTATACAAATATTTAAAAAGATAATTAGGGAAGAAGACATACAAATGGCCAACAGATACATGCAAAGGTGTTCAACATCATTAATAATGAGGGATGTGAACCAAAACCACAATGACCTCACACTTGTTAGAATGGCTGTTATCAAAAGGACATGAAATAACAAGTGCTAGCAAGGATGTGGAGAAAGGGAACCCTCATGCGCTCTTGGTGGGAATATAAATTAGTGCAGCCATTTTGGAAAACAGTGTGGAAGTTCTTCAAAATATTGAAAATAGAACTACTCTATGATCCAGCAATTCTACTTCTGGGTATATATCTAAAGGAAATGAAACACTAACTTGAAAAGATTGATGTACCTCCATGTTCATTGCAGCATTATTTACAATAGCTAAGACATGAACATTTCCTAAGTATCTATCGATGGGTGAATAAAGAAGATGTGGTATATATATGTACTTTACATTCATTATATTACACACACACACTATATATATAATGGAATATTACTGAACTATATAAAAGAATGAAATCTTGCCATCTGCAACAACATAGATGACCATGAGGGCATTATGCTAAATGAAATAAGTCCAACAGAGAAAGACATATACTGTATGATTTCACTTAGATGGGGAATTAAAAAAATAAAAAAATGAAATCCATAAGTACATAGAACAGATTGGTGGTTGTCAGATGTTGAGGGTGCAGGTGGGGTATAGAAAAAATGGTTGAAAGAGGTCAAAAGATCTAAACTTCCAGTTATAAGATAAATAAGCCCTGGGGATGTAATGTACAGGACGGTTACTATAGTTAACAATATTATACTGTATATTTGAAAGTTGCTAAGAGAGTAAATCTTAAAAGTTTTCATCCTAAGAGAAAAATTGTACCTAGGTACAGTGATGAATGTTAATTAAACTTATTGTGGTGATCATTTTACAATATATACATATATCAAATCATTATGTTGTATACTTATTTATTTATTTTTTTTAATTTTTTTTTCATTATGTTGTATACTTAGAACTAATACAATGTTATATGTCATTTTGATCTAAAAAAAGAAAGATAATAGGGGAATATTATGTATAATTTCATGTTAATAATTAAGGTAACTTAATTGGTATAGACAAATTTCTTGAAAGACATAAACTATCAAAGAAAATTTTTAAAAATCAATTACAGCAAACAATGAATCATGGAACACTACATCAAAAACTAATGATGTAATGTATGGTGATTAACATAATAAAAAAATCAATTACAGCAGTATACAGAAGTGATAATATGTCATGACCAAGATAAACCCAGGAATGCAAGGTTAGTTTAATATTTGAAAAATCTATCAATTTAATACCCAATGATAAGCTCAAATATATGCAGAAAAAGCATTTGACAAAATCCAACATCCATTCCTTGTTAAAATCTTTCAGAAAGCTAGGATTAAAAGAGAACTTCCTGAGCCTGCTAAAGAATTATAAAAAACCTTATTTAAAATTATACTCCATGATGAAAGACTGAGTATTTTCCTCTCTAAGACCAGGAACAAGTGAAGGTTGTATGCTTTCACCACTTATATTCAATATTGTACTCCCTCAAAATCCAAAGGCCTACAGATTGGAAAGGAAGAAGTACAACTATCTTTATTGACAGATGGCAAGATTGTCTCTGTAGAAAATCCAATTGAATCTGCAAAAACTTATTCAAACTAATAAGTGAATTTTGCAAGTTTGTAAGACACAAAATCAACACACAAAAAATCAATTGTAAAATGGCCTTTACCAGTAGAGTTTTGCTAAATTGAATTGTTTTAGGATTAGTTGAAAATCAAGTGCCTCCCTATGAGTATATATCACTTTTTCGTGGATGCCAAGTTGTTAATACCCACATAGAAACCAAAATCTACTTTATTTTCTCTCTTGAGAAGTTTATTGCTCGTCCTCTGAAACAGCAGTGATTGGAGTTATACTTAGGATTCTTCAACTCTTCAACTTTGTTCCATTTATTTGTTCTGTTCTTTATTTGTTCTACCTAATGCTATTTTACTGGCAAGTATATCACCTCACAAAAATCAAGGATCTTATCTGATGTGGGGATTCATAATGTTCTTCAACCTTTTGTTTTGTCTAACTTGCTTACTTCACTCAAATATTCTAAATTGCAATATTCTAGGATTTTTTATGTCAAGTATTTAGACGTAGAATAGAATTCCAAGAAGTAAATAAACATGTTATCTGCATCGCATGATCCTTACCTCTAGACCAATTTGACACAGGTGGGCCTTAAAAAGTTGGTCCATTTCCAAGCCATCTCCTACACAAACATTGACGAAGAAACTGGTTTCAGTGTCAGTTATGGTCCATACGAGTGATTATTCTTAACTGACATTAAAAATGTTCCTTTTTTGTATTTCCATCCAAGCGGTCCGTAAGTACGTGACAGCCTATCTATGCATTTGAGTGAGAATAACACTGATTGATTTGGGTGTATTTTTAGGATGAGAGAGGAGGGTTTTTTGGGGGGTTTTTTTGGTTTTTTTTTTTGATGGAAATATTTCATATTGTGAAATGATGAAACATAGTAGAAAACATTGAGTCAAAGATATAAATACAAAATAAGCCATAAATCTACTTATTCTAAAATAGCTTTTTAGGTTCTTTGACACATGGGAAGTAAGAAACTAATGACAACCATTATTATATGGTAAAGTGTTATATAGTGAAGCAAAGATGTCCCATGTACTCCAGCTTTTTGATATTACCTACAGTTTTTTTCTATGTCCAAATGTAATAGATGAACTCCCATTTTAAGTATTGTGAGAGGCCTATTGCCTTACTCGGTATTTCTATTAATTCTTGGTTAGGGTGGGATGATTTCCAGCCTGCTCTAAATTACTACTCTTGTATATTTCTCAATTCCTATTTGTAATTTTCCTTAGGTTCTGTCCTTTTCCTACTCTGCTTCTTTCCTTTTTCTTTCTTTCTTTCTTTCTTTCTTTCTTTCTTTCTTTCTCTTTCTTTCCTTCTCTCTCTCTCTCTCTCTCTCTTTCTTTCTTTCTTTCTTTCTTTCAAGTATAGGACTCAGCCTTGGGTTTTTAGTTTCCCCAAGCTATACTACAACAAGGGTATTTATGTAAGTAGCATAGGTTTCATGGTTAATACAGGAGGATTAAACACAGAAAGAATTTTAAAAGCAAATTAAATCAGGACAGTAGTTCCTAAAAGTCCTCTCGCCATGTTGGCTACTAGAAATTTCTCATTAGCCATCTTTCTTCTCTGTTGTCATTTTTCTGAATTCCTTTTATTCCCTCCCTCTGTTGGATGGTCCTGTCATCTCTAGTAATTCGAGTAACTGGCCACCATATCTCTATCATCTCTTGCCTATCAATGGAAAATGTGCACATTGTTTTCTAAACATTTTCCCCCACATTAACTGATCCAAGAAAATGCAAAAATCTTCTAGTAAGTAAAACAAACAAAAAGTAGTAGACATCTTGCATTTATTTCTCCCATATATTGGGATGTTGAGCAATTGGTGGAGCACATCACAGGCTGACTTGCTGGCTTGGTATCCAGTTGATAATATATATGGTTGTTCCGGCCATTGAGAGCAGTGCCATTCTCATTGATTGGTGTCTGTGCCCAGCACTTACAGATTTTGAATATCATCTCAAGCTAAATCTACTTTCCTATTTGAAATACAGGTACATGCTAATGTAATTTCATTTTTAGCGTTTCGTTGCTATATATATTTTTTCAGTTGACCCATTTTAGATTGCTTTTCTTTCATGCTTTTAACTAAAGATTGATAAAACTTATGTTTCTTAAAGAAGTAATAAACATACATGAAGTAAATGTCTAGTAAAACATATCGTTCGCTCTTTACTTTTTTTCCTAATCCCCCTTTCTCAGAATCTAGTTGCAAAGTATGTGATTTTCCCAGTGGCAAACAGATCAGAATTTAGCATTTAAAAACATTTTACATTTAAATTCTAAAAAATATTTTGCTATTTCTGTGTTTTTACTTTCTGGGATATTTGGTAAGTTTGAAAAAAAAATATCAAAGCTGATCTGAGTCATTACCGCTATGAACGCTAAAAAACTAAAATTTCAGTGTACATAATATATTCCGGCATACTATTTGTTTAGATTCATCTTGTAGCTGATTTTCTCTGGTTTAAGTATAAACTTGCAAAAGTGAGCACAGCAATGCCTTAATCATATATATCATACTAGTCTGACTTCTAGGATGTTTACTTCAAGAGTATTGCTTGGCTCGGTGTTTATAGCCTCAAAAAATTTGAATCTCATTTCTAGAAGTCAGTCTATAACTTGAAATAAGATGACAATGCTTTCTCAAAACAAACAAACAAACAACCCCAACAGAAAACACCATTTCCCTTAGATTTACTTATAACCTCCGAGAAGCAAGGACTTTGCTTGTTTGTTTGTTTTAAAAATCCTGGGAATGTGGGGATAGGATGAGTTCAGTTCTACATAAATTTAACAGGTCCGAAGACATAAGTCCAAATAGATGGTTTTGCCTTAGCTGGTGAGGATGCCGGGGCTGCTTCCTTTGTTGGTGCTGACATCACTGAAGCAGTAGAAAGGCCACTGCTTTCCTTTTTAAAGTTCCAAATTCACCCTTTAGAGTAGGTTAACACTTTGCAAATGTCAGATTTACAGTTTCTGGTGAACAGCGAAGAAAGTCCAAGAGCCTGTAAGAAATTAGAGCTGAATGGTGAGCACAGCACCAGGTGTAGAGTCACTGAATCACTGGGTCGTACACCTGAAACTAATGGAACCGTGTGTCAACTCTACTTCCATGAGGGGAGGGGGTCAGAAATTAGAGCTGTAAATCAAATTTCTTTACTATATCTTAGCTCTTAAGATACATCATATTTCAAAGATTCTAACATTTACATTTCTTTTTACATTTTCACATTTCTGGAAACAGGTTGTGTCTTGTGGTTCTGATGTCCTTGTCATTGCTAGTCCACGTGCATAAAAACTTACAGTATGAATATCAGCAACTTGGAATAAAATTGCAGAGACGATACTGTATGACCAGCACTCTTGATAGCATAGATGATAGTATTGTGTGGGAAACATGGTCATCCATGACTCTGAGTTGAACATGTTTGGAAATACTGGATTTGGGATGGGAGTAAGCTTTAGGAATACCCTAACCGATTTGTTTTGCTTATACTTTATTGTTTTTCTAAGATTTTATTTATTTATTTGAGAGAGCTCGAGCACACATGCACGTGAACAGGGAGCAGGGGGAGGGGCAAGGGTAGGGAGAGGGACAAGCAGACTCCTGCCTGAGCCTGGAGCTCAATCTGGGGCTGGATCCCATGAGCCCCAGACCATGACCTGAGCCCAAACCAAGAGTCCTCCGGATGCTTAACTGACTGAGCCACCCAGGTGCCCCTCTTACAGTTTCATTTTTATATAGATTCAAGCAGGGCATAAGATAAAAACCTATACCTCAGTAGGTATTATAAAGCTCTTTCAGTAAGTATGTAGTGAAAGTTCTGAGCTACAAAAAACACGTGTTATAACTTGTGTAGCTTTGTTTTTATTCCTTTCTTTGTGGTACATACAATAATGTCATCCTTGCAATCATTATGGTATTATGATTTTGAGGTGAACACAGATCATGAGATTTTAGAATTTTTGATTTGCTAATTTTAAAGAAGTTTTTACTGTTGCTATGTCTTTTAAAGTGGTGAAATGAGTCATATATCAAAGGAGGCATTGAAGCATTTCTTTGAAAAATAAAATTTTACAGGACTTAATCCATCCTTTCATTTTCATAATTAACATTCTTTTGGAGAATTACTATCAAATACGTTCTTTAAAAGTGAACTTCAAAGTCTAACTTTGGGCCATAAGTAAACTACTCTGCCTTGTTTATTATAGACAATCATCGTTGAGGGTTTTGAAGTTTAGTTTGGAAGAGGATTTAGCACTCTGCAAGTTTATATTTAAGATTGCAATATTGACTGATTGTCTTTCTGAGAATGTAATAGACATAATAAATTGCTTGCAACACTTAATATTTTCAGAGTGTTTGCCATTACCGTACTTGATGATTATTATTAAAAAAAAAAATCTCTCTGATCCCCCCGTTCTGAAAAGGAAACCAAAATTACTTCTCAATCCCTTCACTGTCTACATATAATCTCTGATTTAATATCACTAACCCAATACAGCAACACCTCATTTTCCCAGCATTGCTCAAGAAAAGTTTGTTCCATGCCAGTACACTTCCCAGATATCCGAAGAATATGCATTTAAATGACAAGCCTATTTTTTTTTTTTTTACTATTTCTGATAGAAATATTTCTACAACACACTGTTATTCTTATATAGAGAATACTGAAAAAAATCTCTAAAATTTTGTGCTTCGTGGCAATCTCAAGAGACTGCTTTATTCGTTGATGGGTCTTCAGCACACAGTAAAGAATGGAATAAGAGGAAGCAGTTAGTGGACGTGGACTACACTCAAAACTCAATGAACTTCTTTTTCGTAGAACACGGGGACTCATTTTTGCGAATATCAGTTACAGCAGATGGCGTGCTCCACCTGGCCCAGCAGGCTATGTGCACAACCTCGGCGCCCCCCCACCCCCACACCCCCACCTCCCGGGTTCGGTCACGGTGTAGGCGCAGGACTGCATATACTTTTCTCCAGAGGGCCGGGTCCATAATCTCAATGCGCTATTTGAGAGTTCCAACGTATAATGAGTAATAATCGAATTAAGCATCACCTCACTCTAAGTTAGGAAACACGACTTTCTTCTTTCTAGTCATGGCACAACTATTCACTTAGCCATCCAATTTTGAAATCTTGGCATAGTCTCTGATTTTTTCTGTTTCCATCTTCCAGCTAGGTCAGTTGTACTGCTGCTTTTCTCTTTATGTCTCTACTATTAACACCCTTTTGACTTTTACTTTGTATTTCTTACCCTATTACTGCTTTTACCTAGAATATTCTAGTTTGTCATATGCTTGATCTTTAGGCCTCCAGTCTCTTCAATTTCCAGTGTATTAGGTACAGAACTGACTGATCTTTATCAATGAGAGGTGTTTCCCTGTTCAAAAATCTCCAGTGGTTCCCTATTTTTGTTAAAAAAAATTTTTTTAACCAAATAATGAAAGACAATTACCAGCAGAGGCTGAGTTCTGTTGGGTCACATATGGATAAAAGGATATATAATTGTTTTGACATTAAGCACGACAATCCCTTCTGATCAATCACCTGTATGGCAATCTGCTCTAACATCTCCTTGGTCTTTAGGATTGAATGTATCGAATACATCAATTTTCATTTCCAGGATAAATTATTGGAAAATCTCTACACACTCTTCTGAAACCGTTCAAGAGATTCGTTGATGTTTTGAAATTTATCTACAAATACTGAGGACATACCTGGACATTTTTTGAGCAACTCGATATATCACTGAATTTTTTTGAAGTCCTTGATACTTTAAAAAATATATATTTAAAAAATTTTACCCCACTTTATTGAGAGGGAATTGACATATAACATTGTGTAAGTTTAAGGTATACAGGGTGTTGATTTAATAAACTTGTGTATTACAAAATGATTATGACTAAGTCATAATCCTATGGCTAACTCCTCTGTCCTGTCACATAATTACCATTTCTTTTTTGTAGTGAGAACATTTAAGAGTTACTCTTTTACCAACTTTAAAGTGTATTATTAGCTATAATAATATAAATATAAATAAACATATATAATACAAAGTATTATTAGCTGTAATCACCATGTTATACATTAGAGCCCCAGAACTTGTTAATCTTAGTTTTTTTCAAAATTTTATTTTTTTATTTGAGAGAGACAGAGATAGCGAGAGAGAGCAAGAGCGAGGAGAGAGGGAGAAGCAGGCTCCCTGGCAGGCTCCCCACTGAGCAGGGAGCCCAATGCCGGGACCCCGGGATCATGACCTGAGCCAAAGGCAAATGCTTAACCCACTGACCACTCAGGTGCCCCTGAACTTGCTAATCCTGTAACTGGAAGTTTATACCCTTTAATCAATTATCTTTGCATATCTCCCACTTCTAAGCTACTGATAACCACCATTTTGAATACTTCTCAGTGTGTATTCATTGTATTCATTCTTATACTTAGTTGTTTGTCACAAGTTTAACTGAGATGGTATTATGTGCCAATGTGCCCAGTGTCATAGATGTGATGGTACACAAACACAGGATTTTTATCTTTATCTAAACTATGGACTACTAGCTTTCTTCACCATTTGGTGTTGAAATTTACGTTTTCTTTGCATATTCTATTTGTAGAATTTGAAGATCATTTTCCTGGCTGGAGAAAAAGAAATTCTAATGTTTGTTAGCAAATTGCTCTCTTCCCCAAGCAGTACGGTTCTTTTCCTGCCTTTTCTTTTCTCATTGCCTAAAATATGATGGAAGAGTATTTTATATTGTCCTAAGTATTTTTCACAAGTCTCGGCTCATTTTGAACGTAGCACTTTTGACACTGATTTAAAACATACTATATATACGGCTGTGCATGTTTTTTAACTTTACAGTATTCCGTATTTTTCAATTTAATTAAATATATTTTGAAAACATAATATTTAATGTCTGTTTAATAGTCCATCTTATTTAACTATCCCATATTTTGGGCTATTTGGTTTGAGTCCAGGTTTTTTTTTTGGTTGTTCTGCAACTTTAAATAATGCTTCTATGAACATCCTGGTACATAATTCTTTGCCTGTGCTTCTGATGATTTCCTTATGTTGTACTCTTGCCTCCAAATACTGTCCATGTCTTGGGCCCAGGGACTAAGCAGACTGGCTGTTTTTCCAATCTATGTCCAGTGAATATATTTTTTACTCAATGATCTTTAGAACTCTTTTGATGACTGACCAGATGGAGTGTTGCCCAGTGTGCCGCAAGATCTTCCATAAACCCCTTTAACTTACCCCTTGCAGCAGGCTAGGACCCCTGTAAGGCCTGGAGAAGGAAGAGAGGGGCCTACACAGCTTCCCAGCTGCTGATGGTAGGACACATAAACTCTAGTCCCCTTTCCCGGGGCCGCGCCTTGTGAGTGCGTGCGTGCGTGCGCGGGAATGCGTGCGTGCGCGTGTGCGTGAGTGCACGCCGCGGTGGGGAGAGCTGAACTATTGCTGCTTGCCACAGATTGAATTGTGTCTCCCTCCCACACCAATTCGTAGGTTAAAGTTACAGCCCCTGATGGGCTGTAATAAAAGTATTCCTAAAAAGTGGCATTAAACATTCTTAAAACCTTGCTTCTAATTAACAGAGAACACGATACCTGCATTTCTGTGGCAAAAAAAGAGAAAAACGCCAAACTGCATTAATCTACTGTCAAAATAGTACTACAACTCACTGTAATCCAAGTCCCAATTCAGATTATGTGGTTAGAGGGTGTCAAAATAGGCTTTTGCATCTCAGTTAGCAACTGATTAACTGTTCTCTGCAATGCTCTCAGCAAACCTTTCCCTCTTTTTCCTCCTTTTCTCCTCACAAGTCCTGCCAGATTCTATCAGAAGGCACAACTGTCCTGGTCCGGAATGGCGTTTCCTAAATCTAGTCCATCACCGCCAATACCAGAATCAAAGAGGGGCCGAGGGGTTGTTAAAAATATACGTGGCCCCCACCCCGGCCCTACGCCCTCTTAAGTCGCGGAGGCTGGGGGCGGGCGGAAAGGGCCTGGCTCTGTAGTTGAAAGCAACGCTGCAGGTGGAGGGGCTACATCGCGCCGCAGGCCTCAGCAGCACCTAGGCCTCAAGCTCCACCATTAGCAAGGAGCCCGGAGGCGGCGTCTGCATCCGCTTCTTCCTAGATTCTCCCGCCGGGCAGGAGGCTGGGGCAGAGAGAGCTTAATTCTCGGCCTCTCGGCCTCGCGGCCTCCCCTCCGCCCCCTACCGCTTCCCCCGCCTCCGTGGCTGAGCCACGGGCCTACCGGGCGGCCTGGCCTCAGTTCACCCCGCCCTCCGGCCTGCGCGAGGAGGACTTACAGAAGAACTCGGCCACGGTTTCGGCGCTCCCGCGCAGGGTGATGCCTTGCTCCCGGGAGAGCTGCAGCGCCATGGCCAGTCCTACAGACGAAGGAGTGCGCTTCCCCCCGGCAGAGAGCGACGGCGGAGACGCCCACAGCAGTTCCCCGCCACTCGTTTCAAAAGTAACGGCGCAGCACGCCCTCGGGCCTCGGCGCAGGCGCGATGAGCCTCTAGGCCCCGCCCCGTGGGGCGGGGCCTGCAGGTCCTCTGGGCGCTTTTCGGAGCTGGCCTGTCCGCAGGCGCAGGGGGTAGGCGTGGTCGCCCAGTTCTGGGTGGTCAAGCTCCGCAGGGTCCCGGCTGGGCGTGTGTAGTTGTGGTCTACTAGACCGGCCTGAGGGAAGAAGACGCCAAAACCTGGTTTGGGTTTTTTTTTTAAAGATTTTATTTATTGGGGCGCCTGGGTGGCTCAGTCGTTGGGCGTCTGCCTTCAGCTCAGGTCGTGGTCCCAGGGTCTTGGGATCGAGCCCCGCATCGGGCTCCCTGCCCCGCCGGGGGCCTGCTTCTCCCTGTCCCACTCCCCCTGCTTGTGTTTCCTCTCTCATTGTCTCTCTCTGTCAAATAAATGGATAAAAATCTTAAAAAAAAAAAAAAAAAGAATTAATTTATTTGAGAGAGAATGAGAGAGAGCACATGAGAGGGGGGAGGGTCAGTTTCAGATATTTTAAATATTTAAATATTTAGGTGGAATTACTTTAAAAGAAAATTTTGTTGCACACCATATTCAAAATGCTAAAAATTGTACACCTTGAGGTGTTGAAAACATGATCTTATGAAAATATCAGCCATTTTCACAGATCTGAAAAAAAGCTACTGAATTGTACTATATGCCTACTTAAGTTTTTGTTAGCTAAGCAAATAGATTTATTTTGAGATATGCAACTATGAATAATTGCCACTGCATTAATTCTACCACATTGTTAGGAATCATGACCTTGCATTGCAGACTCTAAAATGGATCTGAATTTGAAACCCTGAGAACACTAGCGATAGAAGGGCAATGAGAAACATCATTATAAGGGCTCCTACAGCTTCTTTTAGGAGGAAAGAATCTGATACACATGAGTACTTTCAGGGCACTAAAAAAGCAGCTGTGATTACTAAAAAGCATCTATGCTCCAAGCTTGTAGCTTTGAACTAGGTGCTTAGCTCTGTATTTGAAGATAGTTATAGGAAACAATGTAATATAGCAGCCGAACTGCTTTCAAGGTCAACCAAAATTCACGGGTATTTAAATGAGAATTTAGGGATGCCAGAAACCTTCATTCTGTTCAGTGACTACTACTGAGTACAGATCATTCAGTTTGGGAATAGGATAAAAAAGCATGCATGAATGTCATGCATGGAAGTAGTTCCATCAACATGCCTGTTTACCGGCACAGATGGCCAATCTAAGTGAATCCAAATTTATTTTAAATTTAAAAACATGTTAAATGTTTCTACAGAACTGTCTCATGGGGTCCTGAATCACACACAGTACTCATTTTACACTTACAGAGTGTAACAAAAAGGATAAAAGCAGAGTAACAGCTTCTAGTTAAAAAAAAAAATCCTAGCTATAAAGTTCAAATGTCTGCAATAAGTTTTTACCACAACCATATGAATCACACTGGGTATAGAAGTTTGGAATTTTTATATTTATTTTTATAATCAACTACTGTCTAATCTCTCAATCTTAAATCTCTAGTTAATGCCACCAAATATAAGCCCAAACAGGAACCTCTGACTACACACAAGCTCTTAGATCGTATTCTTTAAACTGACAACTTTCAGCACTTTATACTTAAGGAGGGCCTGTACTACTCTTAAATATTTTACACTTTCGTTTTCCACGTTTTACTCAACATAAACTCTTAGAAATATATAAGAATATATATACACATACATGTCATAGAAAGTGGTCAGCCTATTGTCAACATCAGCTATAATATAAAAACCGTAACTAAAAAAGTCTTTATACAGAGTTTCAGATGATCTGAATTTTACACAGAAAAGTGTAACTTTGAGAAATGAGGACTGTAATCCTGTGCTACTTGGGAGAAAAAGTAATGTGAAAAGAAAATTAAATTAAATGTAACCCCTTCCATTTAACTTCCAATAAAATGTTACTTTCAAAGATTTGGCAGGCTCTGAGTGAAGTGTTCTTATGTATGACTACTTAAAAAGATCACCAAACTATCCTAAGTTTCTGTCTTTAAAGGGAGAGAAGGAAAAAAAAAAGAAGAGGACACTGATGTTGATTTGTAAGACAAATCACTTTTTTCTTTCAACTAATAATCTGCCTACAGAACATCTCCAAAGAACAGCCTGACACACTGAAAAAAATCAGCCCAGCTCTCCTGCCCGCTCCCCATTCAATGGGGGCAGAAAAGTGGAAGTGTGCAAGGGTGAAAGGAAACTAGGGACAGATGGCCTCGGAGTAGCAGGTGACCTTTGAAAACTGGGGGCCCACAACAATCAATAATTCCAGATCTAGATGGCCTTCGTGCCTCACCCCGAACTCGCAGGAAACTGTCCTTTGAAAAGAAACCACTTTTTCTTTTCTTTTCAGGGTTTATCCTCTGGTTGCTCCAGATTCAGATTTTGAAGGAAGACAGCCAAAGCGGGGAAAGAGGACTTTAAAAGGAGGGCGGAGTAATTAAACAGAAGAGATAAGATTTGCCCTAAGCTATCGCCTCGGTCCAAAACCCCCGAAAGGAATGAAATCGACACATACATACACAAACTCGTTTAGGAGAAACTGCCTTAAAAAGAGCCCCTTCTAAAATCCCAAAGGAATACACCGTAAGAGAATAAAGGAAGACAAAAATATCAGACAGTCCATTTTCAATGAAGCATCCCTCTGCCCCCCCGCCCCCGCTGGGCGCCCCCAGCCAGCACCCAGCCCCGCGCCCCCAAGGTAAAGTGGCAAGTGGGGGGATGCTGAAGGGACTACCTTGTTTTGTCTCCAAAGGGCAACACAGCAAACATAGGAAGGTCGAAGTGCAGACCACGCGGCCTCCGCAGACTCTGGACTCCGGGAGGCGCCGGGGGGCGACGACGTGCCCAGGGGAGGCGGTGACTCCAAGCCTGCTCCCTTACCGACCCCGCCACCGGGCCGCCGCCCGCCGCAGCCCGCTCGCTCCGCGCTGCGCCGCCCCCTGGCGGGGAGCGCCCGGCAGAGCGGAGGCCGAACGCCGGCGGGGGGGAGCCCAGCGCCGAGCCTCGGCCGGCCGCTCCACCATCACCGCCCTGAGTGCGCTTTCCTGGCGGCCAAGGCAGCCAGCGCCGGCTGCCCGACGGCCGCTGCCTGGAGGCGGCGGCGGCGGCGGCGGCGGGTCCGGGACTCTTCTCCAAAGAGGCGCGTCCTGGAGTCAGTCGGAGTCCGCGTGTAGAAGCCTTTGCCCGCGCAGCGGCTTCTCACCAACTCCTCAGGCTTCAGGGCATCCGCCCGCCTCCACTCTCTGCTCCGGCCCCTCCTTCCTCGGCTTCAACCTCAATTCCTCCCCAACTCTACGGGAGCCTTTCCCACGCGCGCCCCAACTGCCCCCCGGGCAGCCACCTCCCAAAGGACAGGCACCCTCCTCCCCGCCCTCGGCAGCGGCCGCCCGGCGCTTGGCTCTCGACCGGGAAGAGCTGGCCTCTGGGGTCGGCTGGGGCTGCGCGGGACCCGTCAGCGCCCCGCTGTCGGCTCCCGCCGCGCCTCCCCAGCGCCCTTTGTGTGCGCGCCGCGAACCCCTCTGCGGAGCCCTTTCAGCGGCGCCGCCTTGGGAGCAAGAGAGAGTGAAAGGAAGCGCCGGGCCAAGCAAGGGACTGGAAAGGGGCAAAAGGCGACAGCGCTTACTCTGGGAAGACTCCGGCATGTTGCTGCCTTTGGGCTCCTCGTGGTCTCGCCCCTACCCCGACTTCCCCGCCCGCCAAGGGCCAGGGCGAGGGGGGACGGGGGAGGAGCGGAGCTGCTGGGACCGAGTTGGAAATGGTGCTTCCGGAGCCGCAGGGAAGGGGCTCAAAACTGTTTTGGTTTCGCTGAGGAGATTTAGGGGGACTAGGAGGCTAAAGAACGGCTGGGGGAAGGCCCGTGAGCGCGGATGTATGTAAATAATCTTGCTCTCAGGGAATAATCTTGCTCTCACCGGCCGTGTGTGTGTGGGGGGGGGGGGGGGGTCCGCATGTACATTTTTGCATTGAACTTTTTGAGCAAGTTGGATCGAATCCCACGCTTGGGCTTTTCGACTGTACTAGCCATAAAGTCGAGGTGTCTACACCCTAACAGGACCAAAGACCTACTTCAAAAGCAAAGGGCCTGGGAACCGAGGTCGTTTAATGGTAAAGGAAGAGGAAAATTCAGTAAGGGAGAGAGATGAGCCCCCAGGTCACTCTCAGCGCCCCGGGTGGGTCTTCCAGGGGTCCTCTTCTTACCTGGTGGCTTTCCTAACAAAGTAAGAGCAGGTAAAGTCCCAGTGATCATCCAGCCACGCTTCCACGGAATCCTGGTCCCGCTGCAGCTTCGACTCCCCGGAGCCGGGGCTGGCCCGCTCCATGATCCGCGCCCAGCGTCTGTGCAGCTGGTTTGTGCCGTTTTCCACCCCAGCTGGGGTCTCTCCCTCGGAGGAGCCGGCCTCTGCCCCGAGACCCTCCCCCTCCGCCTTGCGCCGGTCCGGCTGGCTTTTGGCGAAGCTGCTCCGGCGCCCGGCCAGCCGCTCGCCACGCCCCACCTCTCCTGGTGATCACCGCTCCCAGGTGCGGCGGGTGGGGCAGGCGCAGCAGCCGCGCGGCCTCGCCGGGGTCGGGCGGAGGCTGGGTCTCGCCGTCTGTCGGGTCCCCAGATTCCAAGGCGGCGGCGGAGGCAACTGGCGAGCTCTCCGGCCGCTAAGTGGCCGCCGCTGGAAGGAGGCCGCTCGGCCGCTGGGGTGCGCTGTGGGCTGAGCGGGTTCCGGGGGAGCGCGCAGAGGTGACTGGGGGTGTGTTCGCAGAGTGCCCCACAGTACGAAAGGGAGAGTCGCGATGTGTGCGCCCATCCCAAGTCCTGAAAGCTGGAGTTAGGGGAACCTTCCACCAAAAGTAAGAGGTGCGGCTACCCTGGCGACTTTTCTCAGGTCTGAGTGAACAGTGACCGCCCGGCCTCGCTTTCCTCCCCAGGGCTTGGGTCTGGAAGGTGCAGGGATCGACCTTCCTCCGAGCCCAGGCAGCCCGGGGGGGTGTGCCACGGATTTGCGGCTCCTGGTGGGTAACTTCCAACAAAGGCATTTCCGTAATTACTATGTTGTTAATAACCACAAATAATTATAAAGTAGGCGTCTTTGCATCAAACATTCCCTTTTTATGACTGCAACAAGATTTTCTGGGAAAAGGAAAAGGTAAAACTGAAGTAATCATCATGGTTTGTGTATGAAGTCAGAAGACAAGGGAACCTCTGTACAATTAGGTTAGAGAGCATAGACGCTACCCGGGGATAGTACAGAGCAGACTGGTTAGCCCAAGTTTTATTAGTCATTTATATTTAAATGGAATTAACACACACCCCACAAAAAAGTATCCGTTTCAAAGGGCTCAGCTTTCCTACTCTATTTTGTCCTATCCCAATCATGCTTTCCAAAAAGGAATTGGTGTCTTCCTTTTGCTTTGTTCTCATCTCCATCTCCTTGTCCCGCAATTTGCAGTTTTAATAACGGTATTTTGCAATGACCTAATTTGGGGGCAGAATGAAATATGGAGTTGTATGTTTCACAACGTGTGAACGACACCATTAGCAGTGATATACCCATAGTGATTTAGCTGACATACTTTTAACAAAGTCCTTTCAAACTATTCTTGGCAAGAATGTTAGACATTACTCATAGAATGAGTATTACTACATAGAAATGCATAATTAAATTGATAATATAAGAACTTTAAAAAATGTCTTCCAATCCGCCAATGCAATGGTTTATCCTTCCTGCATTAAATAATTGTCCTTCTACAATTATAGTTTTTCTGAAACTTTACTGATGTATGCAAGTAACCACAAACCAACAAAAAGTAAGCAAAGCAGTAGAATGTGAAATAATGTGCAATAAATTATATCGGATTTTAAAATGCGAGTTCTGTGATCCTGATGTGTGATTACAGTGCTCGTGAACTCGAGACTTTGTCCTCAGTGCTCAGTTTTTCCCTGTGGAAATCCATGCATTTCTCCTAACAGAGGGTCAGTTATAATTTAAAACTATACTTTCCTACAAAAAATGAAGTGAATTTTTGGCTTGAATTGTTTGCTTCAGCTGGCTGCCTTGATTAAATAAACAAGCACTATCTAACTGTCCATTTTTCTCTTAACCTGAAAGGGTTAAATTATCAGAAACCAGAGAGTTTTCTGAAAAGTTACTGCAAGAAAAACAATCCGTGGATTCTGCCATTGGCGAGTCTGAATTCTGTGTGGTATACATGGCAGATTGGGGGTTCTTGTGAAGGCTGGTTACTTGAAGTGAGCATATCACAGTGGTTTGGGGGATGAGTTATTTCAAACTGTTCTAGTCTCCAGAGATCTCAGATAAAATTTGTAACAAATCTCTGTAACTTTAAAGTTCTTAAAGGTGACCTCACCCTGACCTCTTGTTTCCCAGCTCCATTTTATTTTTTATCCCTATCTGATAGATTTTTTAATGTTTTAACTTACTGGTATGGATTGCCCTAAGCATCTCCAATCTTGTTTTAGAATGAGTTGAAGATTGAGTAAATAATAAACATTATCAGGAAATAACTTTAAAAATGCTGTTCATGCTATTTACAACAAACAAATGCACAATGGAGGCCTAACAGAAAGGCCTCCAATTCCCGTCGTAGTAGAATAAAACCCAAACTCTCTAATGTGGCTTACAAAGTTCTGCATGATTTGACTTCTACCTACCTCTACTCTTGAGGTTTTGATCATACAACTAGAAAAAAATAAATCAATGATGATCAAATTCTCAAAAAAAGGAATGTGAATTACAGGAGTCATGAAATCTTTCCTGACCTGCTTTTTTTTTTTTAATTTTTTTATTCTTATGTTAATCCCCATACATTACATCATTAGTTTTAGATGTAGTGTTCCATGATTCATCGTTTGTGCATAACACCCAGTGCTCCATGCAGAATGTGCCCTCCTCAATACCCATCACCAGGCTAACCCATCCTCCCACCCCTCTCCCCTCTAGAACCCTCAGTTTGTTTTTCAGAGTCCATCGTCTCTCGTGGTTCGTCTACCCCTCCGATTTCCCCCCCTTCATTCTTCCCCTCCTGCTACCTTCTTCTTCTTCCTTTTTTTTTTTTTTTCCTTAACATATATTGCATTATTTGTTTCAGAGGTACAGATCTGAGATTCAACAGTCTTGCACAATTCACAGCGCTTACCAGATCACATACCCTCCCCAGTGTCTATTACCCAGTCACCCCATCCCTCCCACCCCACCCCCCACTCCAGCAACCCTCACTTTGTGTCCTGCGATTAAGAATTCCTCATATCAGTGACTGACCTGCTTTTTTTTCATTCAAATCCCATACAGTATATTCTGTCCCCTTTGCAACCTTCCAGTGTATTCCAGGCTTGAGAAAATTAATATATTTGCACTTATAATATATTTGCACTTATGATCCAGTTTCCTCACTATTGAAGGGGGAAGACTAGAAGGTACATTGTGGTGTTGAAATGGAATTGGAGGTTAAAAATTAAACATGTGGGGTTGTGTGTGGGTGTGAGTTGTATCACGGGGAGAAATCCCACATGATGAAGAAATGCAGGCAGTTTCTAAGAGCTGTGGGTACCTTCCAGCTGACAGCCTACAAGGAGTTCCTGTCAGCAAGAGAATGGATCCCTCAGTCTTACAAATACAAGGACCTAAATTCTGCTAACAACCTGTGTGAGTGCAGAAGTCGATATTTCCCCATTCGAGCCCCAGATGTGACCACAATCCCAGCCAATATATAGACTTGCAGCCTTGTAAGATGCTAAGACATTTTCATAATTGACAACTTAATAATAATGAGTCTTATAATCCATGAACATAGTGGATTTATCCATTTATTCTAGTCTTTTAAAATGTCTCCCAGTAATGTAGTTTTTAGTATATTTGTCTTACACATATTTTGTTGGATATATCTCTGTATCTACTTCAGCTCTGTCACTGAGAAGTACTAGAAGCTATGACATTCCAGTAGCAATGAGTACAGTTAGTACCCAGATTTTGGTGTCTAAAAACCATTCTTCACTTTAAAAGGAATCAGAAGTCTGTGGAGAAAAAATTCCAGGTCTAGGACACAGAAAGTATTAGATAAGCCTGGAAAATCTTGTTTTGCTAGAAAATTAGAAAGGCTTGAAAAGATGGCAATATATCAGAAGGACAGAGGATATATCTGCAGGGAGCTTCCAATGGACAAATCTAGGGCAATTTAAATATCAAAATTGGGATACAGTAATAGTAACAAATTTTAACAGCTGACTAAAATAAGAAACTGTAATTTCACTCTGCTATAAGTCAATCACTAGATAAGTAAGTAAATAGGAAAGAAGAGAATGTTCCTTACAGTAGAATGCTAACTAATGAATACAAAAGGAATTATGTAGTAAGAGAATCATTAATGGTTACTAAAACTAATCAGTGAGAGTTTGATGATGAATGGAGTATCTCCTCATAAGTTTTTTATTAGTCATCATGGGGAAATAGTATCTTTACAATGGAGAGAACTTATGGATACCTTTCTAACCAAGTGATCAATTTAATATCACTTATATTGGGACAAACCAAGCATATAAACCTCTAAATAGGATATTCTGAGAAGGACACAACATCACTTCTATGTTATTCCTGAACCTAAATCTAATCCTGAGGATCGGATTGAGGGATTTCCAAACAAACACACGCAGTTTGAGGCACTTTGTACAAAATAACTGGCCTGTATGCTTCCAAGACTTCAAGGTCAAGAAAGACAAAGAAAGACTGAGGACCTAGTTATTTACTACTTTGTAACAATATTACCACAATGTTAGTGGCTTGAAGCAACACACATTTGTCATCTCCCAGTTTTTGTGAATAAGGGGTCTAGGCTCCGCTAAACAGTGTCTTCTGCTCAGGGGAGGTCTCACAAGGCAACCGGGCGGGAAGCCAGAGCTGCCTCATCTGAGGGTCAGTGGGAGAAGGATCTGCTTCCAAGTGCACTCAGGCTGTTGGCAGAATCCAATTCTTTGTGGTTGTAGAACCGAGGGATTCTTTTTCTTGCTGAGTTCTGGCTGGGACCCCAACAGGCTGTTGGCTGGGAGCCCCCCTTTGCCTCAAGAAGCCGCCTTCATTTCCTTGCCTTCATTATCCCACCATGACTGCCTGCTTCCTTGGAGCTAGCAAGGGAGAGAGACCCCAGCGAGACGGGACTATAATCTTATGTACATAACCATGCAATCACATACACATAATTACATACATCCCATCACCTTTGCCATATTCTGTTTGTGGGGAACAAGTCAAGCTTCTGCCTTCACACAAGGGGAGGGGAATCACAACAGGGTGTGAACACCAGGAGAAGGATCCGTGGAGGCCACCTCAGGAATCCTTCTAGAATAACACTGTCATAAAGCATAGTGAGTGCGATGTAGCATGTGTCCAGTAGATATTTGTGGGGGCAATTTGAAAAAAAAAGTTTTCTTAAATTACTTTGGCAGTACTTTTGTGTATTGTATGTAAATATGTTAGCAATTGATCTTTGAGGAAGGGTTATTTCTTTTCATGGTCTTTGGAAGTCTTATCACACTTAATAAAATCACCTTTTACTCTTAGCAGCCCTGGGCTCACGTGAAATAGTTTTCTGAGGACGGTGTTGGAATACACGCTTCAAGCTGTTGCACAGCAGGGATCAGCTTAATATCTTAAATGTGTGAATTTAAATTAGATCATAATTTTCCATTTCAAAGACTAAGCCAGCTTATGAATAATAAAGCTGTATAATGGTGCAATTATTCCCATCAGTACAGAGAATTTTCTTTCCCAAATCAAACGTAGGGTTTTCTACCCAAGTCTCTTGTGGCACCCCGGAATTCAGTTTGACATACAAAGTCTGATCCATGTAAAAAGACATTACATAGAAAATGGTGAACAGCTGTTTTTTGTATCAGCGAAGGTCACACACAGAGGAAATAGACGTCCACGAAAACA